TCAGCAGCCGCCTTGGCAAATTTTTGAATCGCATGCAACAGTGCTGAACCCTTCTTGGCGATGAGGTCCACGGCGTCGATGACGAGCGTGGCAACGTGACCATGCTTGGCCTTGAACTGTGCGGCGACGTCCCGAAGACTGAAATCGAGTATCGCCCAGCTCTTGAAAGGTTCTTCTGCCGATGCTATTTGATGCATCTCAACACCACGGTCTTTGAAGTAGCCTGCTGTGAAGGTGAACCGGTTGAACGCGAACGCGAGAGACCCCGCCAGTCGTTTCGGCACATCAACGGGGAGCTCGCTTTTGATGATGTGGTAGACAATGCCAGTGCTGTTGGCTCGGATGGCGTCGAGGACGGCGGTGGTCTTGCCGCAGCCTACTTCGCCAATGACGACCGTGTAGTCCTTCAACAGCGCGGGGCGCAGCACCCCTTGAAGCATAGCAACGGCCTCTGGACGATTGACGTGGTATTTCTCGAAGGGCGGGATCACGGAGCCGGCCTCGAAGCGTGCGAGCATGCGAGCTAGCACGACTTCGGGCGAGCGGGTCTTGGCGTCCATAATTGTCTTCTTGGCGTCCAGCACGTGCTGAGCAACAACAGCCGCCACAACCAAAATGATGAATATGGTGGAGACCGCCTTGGCGACCGCGCCGCCGATGAGACCGAACACACGCCGAAAAGTTGGCTGTTGCTGAGCCAGGGCTGCTAAAAGAGCTCCAGCTGCAGCCGCAGCCGAGATTGCGGGATAAAACAAGAAAAACAAAACGAAAAACTCTTAAAAAAAAAAAAAAAACCACTGCGCGCGACCATGTGAAGTACGAAGCGCAAGCGTAGTGCCCCCTCCCCTCGACAGACAGACGGACAGACAGACAGAATAAAAGTTCCCACACCAACTTCGAAAGGCAATGATCCGCTGATTGGCGACCGGTCCACCTCGGCCAAAAGACGATACTAGTAATTTCCATTCCTGTAAGCTCGTCTATCACTTGTTCTTCACTGTGGACAAGAACGAGTATTCTGTCCATCATTGCACACAAGAGGGGAGGGGGCAGGGGTTGACATTCATTTCTTTTCCTCCATTTGTCAGTCTTTTTTTTTTTTTGTTTGTTTGTTTTGTTTTTGGTGCAGAGTGCAGCGCGCCGCGAACCTCATGATTCCGTACGACCTCAAGCAGGGAATTGTGAGCACTGAAACAAGAAACAAAAATGGCGCGCACACAAAAGAGTCACTATATTCACGCGACAACGACAATAAACAACAAAACACTCCTGAATGCAACGATCGCCAAAGAGAGCGCAACATCCGCAAAAAAAAAAAAAAAAACTCATGCGACGTGCCTGAGCTCGACGAAGCGATCGTTGACAAAAAGGTTCCTGAACACGGCAACAACAAAACTTGCAAAAACTTCGAGCAAAACAAAACACCGACAGTCGACGCTTAAAAGCCGACAAACAAATCATTGTCTGTGCCCGTCAAACCACCCTCGCTGTCGTCCTCGCTCGCCAGCGCACTGTAGTTGATAAAGTTGCCAGTGTCTCCGGGAGAGTTGTAGGACGGCACAAACGGCGGCGGCACACGGCAGCGCTCGAGCTGCTCCCAGCTGTACGCCTTAAACAACGGGTAGGCCTGAATTTCTTGGACGCCCTTGCTGCCCAGTCGACGCTGAGGACTCAAGGTCAGCAGCGCTTTGCAGAGAGAGACAACCTCGGGGCACTTGGTCTGCATGTCCTGCGGGTAGACGACATTCGAGTGGAGAATGAGGTTGTAGAGCTCGTTCACTGTTCGGCGTTTGAACGGGACGTGTCCTGAGACGAGAGAAGAAGCAAGGAGCGGGCAAACATTTCAAAAGCAAAATGAGTGTCAAATTTGAGAGGAGAGAGGAGGGGAAGGCATGAAAAACGAAAAACAACGACAACAACAACAACAACAACACTGAACGAAATCACGCTTCTCACCAGTCACGAGCTCAAACGCAA